AGGCACTCAACAAACATGCAGGAAAAGCATATAAACACATAGTCAAGTTTACTAAACATCTTTTAAAAACCATGGGAAAGTGTATGAGATTTAAAAATTAAAATAGAGCCAAGAGGAGGTGGCACATGCCTTTAACCCCAGCACTTGGGAGACAGAGCCAGGCATGTCTCTGAGTTTGAGGCCATCCTATCTACAGAGCGAGTTCCAGGACAGCCAAAGACACGCAGAAAAACCCTGTCTCAAAAACCAAACCAAACAAACAAATTAAAATGGGAAAAGTGCTTTGGGCGTACCGTGGTCCTGGTGTCCTTCAGAGACTGGATGGTGTAGTTAGCCTGCTCCATGTTAAAGGACTGCTGGGCAAGGTTGTCTCGCTGCTGCTCATACCTTCGTGGAGACGGTGAGAATTAGAAACGGGAGACAGACAGATCCTTAGGAAGGAAGACCCTCAAACTAAATACGGGAATTTTCTCAAACAAACCAAAAACTAAAACCAAAACCATTTAAAAACTACCCACTCTAATAAAACCCCTCCAAATCTTTTTCCTTTGAATGTATATGAATTTTAACTATTCCCACTTAACAACATAGTATTTGTTTGTTTCTTTTTTCTATTTCTTGAAAAAGGATCTTGTAATCCAGGTCAGCCTCAGACTTGTAGTGACCCTCCTGCTCAGCTCCCCAAATCCTGGTAAAGCAGGTGTCTGCCACTGCTCCTGTCTGCACTGTATCTTCTTACATCTTATTCATAGTTTTCTAATTATTTCCCAAGATGAATTCTCAGAAGTGGAACTCTTGGGGCAAAAGGGGAGATTGTTTTTTAAGGTTTTTCATACATATAGCTATATGTTTTTCAGGTAGACTCAAAGTGTACTTAAGGACACTTTAATAATCCTGTATTCATAATTAGGCTATACATCTGACTTAATACAAATTGGATGTCTGATACTAGAAATACTGATACTTTAAATGTCTGATACTCTTTAAAGTTTTCTATCCAATTATAATATTATGTCAAAGACTTATTTTTTTTTAAAGTTTTAACTCTTTTTAATATTTATTTATCATGTATACAGTATTCTATCTGTGTGTATGCCTGCAGGACAGAAGAAGGCACCAGACCCCATTACAGATGGTCGTGAGCCACCATGTGGTTGCTGGGAATTGAACTCAGGACCTCTGGAAGAGCAGTCAGTGCTCTTAACCTCTGAGCCATCTCTCCAGCCCTATGTCAAAGACTTATGTCACCATGATTTTTTTCTTCTTCAAGACAGGATTTCTCTGTGTAGCCCTGGCTGTCCTGGATTTCGCTCTTTAGAGCAGGCTGGCCTCAAACTCAAGAGATCCGCCTGCCTCTGCTTCCCAAGTGCTGGGATTAAAGGCATGTGCCACTACGCCCAATGACATAATAAAAATTATGTCACCATGATTTTTACACAACATTTGGAAACCATTTAACTAACAGAAGAAAAATAGGTAATTCATGATCCAGGCAAGCAGCAGATGACTCCATTAAGTTAGGCAGGGTGGCACATGGTTCTAATCCCAGGACTGGGAAGCTGAGTCAGGGGAGTAGAGCTGGAAGCCAGTCTTGGCACATAACAAGACCCTATCTCTAAAAATAGAAACAGGAAAAAAAGTATGGTTTGAAGTGGAAAAGAATAGTTTATATAGAAGACACATTATAATTTCAGTTTCCTATGAATCTAGGTAAATTTTCTTTACATCTGTTTGTTTGATATATTTTCCAACTTTCTGCAATAAATCTATATTACCCCCCCATTTTTTTTAAAAAAAAGGGGGGGTTTATTTTTTATTTTTTTGAAGCAGGAACTCATATAGCCCAGGATGGTCTAGAATTTACTAGCCAAGGGTAGCTCTGAACCTCTGATATTTTTGTCTTCACACCCAAGCACTAGGTTTACAGGTGCATGCCACCATGCTCAGTTTATTTATTTACTTAATTTTAGATAGGGTTGTATGTAGCCAAGGCCAGCCTTGGTTTCTCTATGAAGCCAAGGCTCATAGGTTCCTGGTCCTTCTTCCCCTACCTCCTAAGTGCTAGGATTATAGGCCTATGCCATAGAAGACAAACTGTATTTCTTCTATAAGAAAAACAAAATAGTTTAAAACCAATTGCCACTAAAAAGGTAATAGTTGCAACACATCTTGGCCATTGTAGGCATTATTAGCTTTTTCTGATGTGTTTTAATATAAAAAAAAAATGAAAGACAGCATCCGATATGTTACAAAGTCATTTCAAAGTTGGAACAGAGTTGTCGACAATTTTTCTGGTTTCCTACAAGCTGAGTATGCTCTGCTTCTACAGCTCCCCAGATGACCTCACAGGCTGAGCAGTCCTCGGGGGAACACCAGATATTAACTGGGTTTTGCACAAACACCGGGACACAGTAACTGAAAACCAATTGTGAGCCTGTACATTTGTCCTGCCGCAAGAGAGCACATACTTAGCACCCTAACTTTACAAACAAAACCTAGAAGACCATACTAACTAAACAACGGGAAAGCCAAGCCATATGGACCTGGCCAGCCATAGTCAGAGTCGCTAGCACCACATGGCTACCTAAGCTTAAGTTAGTAACATTAAACAATGGAAGATTATGGAGATTTGCAATGAAATCAAGAATATTTAGAAAATGATATGAAAGCAGCAAAGAATGAAGACCTTTTTGCTTTTGGCTTAAACTGTTCTTAGAAAAGAAATGGTGCATAGGACTTACATCCGCTTTTGCTTTAAAACCCTCAGGGCTTTCTGTTTGACCATGTTCTGAGGAGAAAAACAGATTTAATAAAAACGGGGAACACATATGGCAAAAGAAATCTCCCAATGCTCAAACTCGTGTGCCTATTTGCTTTCTTCTTCAAAAGGGCAGACATAAAGGTTCCTTATCTACTCTTCCCCTAAGCACAGGTAACTCTAATGTCTAGTTAGTAAGCCTCGGCACCCTTTGCACCACACACCTCAGTGTCCCTTTTCCTGATGCACCCACTGCCAGCCCCAACTGTGCCCACTGTGTCTCTTCAGTCACAATTTAAACACAACGTTCAACCTCTACCATGTCCTTATGTTAGAGACAGCTTACAAGAACCTTGAAATCTCTCCCTTCTAGAAGCTGAGAACCTCTACACAAATTCCATTTCCTCTTTCTGTTGGTTCTTCATGCAAATTTACCAAACACTACTATATTCTAGGCATAATGCCATGTAGGTGACTTGTTATTTAATCCTCACACTACAACGGATGTGCTATTTTCATTTCACAGATGAGAAAATTGAGGCTGGTTCATACTGTTAATAAGTTATTAAGCTGAAAAAAAAAACAAACCCAAGATAGCTATATATGTCCATAGTCTATTAAACAGCGATAGTATTAGAACACTGGTCCTACAAGCTAATTCTGTACTTTTTCCTGGCCTGCCATTGTATTATATCTATCCCAGTCTGAGCAGCCTGACCACACCCAAATTCTGAGTACAAGCAAGCCCTCGTCTCCAGAGATCTATTAGAACACATCAATTCCCATTATCATTAAATAAAGACCAGCATCTTCTATCTACCACATTAAAACCAGCCTCCTCTTGTATCTGGCTGTACTCCCTTTCCTGAAGAGTATATATCCGTACGTGTATACACACCACGCTGTATTTTTCTGCATCCTCCCACCACTGCCCCACACAGTACTTTACAGCAGACAACATTACCTTGGCAGGACCCTCTCTCATCTTCTTCATTTGGTCCTTATATTTCACTAGCTCAGCATCCAACCGGGAAATCTTTTTGTCAATGGATTCTGCCCTGCTATCCACCTTGGAGGAAAATGTCAAATGTAGTGGTAATTATTATAATATATTTACACCGGAAGGGGCAGGAGGAGAGCGAGGAATATGGATGAAGAAGAGAAAACAAAGGAAGGATATAGCAAAGAGTGGAAAACAGTGGTTTACTGAAGGATGGGGAATACCAGCCAGAATAATCGGAAGAGGCTTTCATCAACTCTCTCCCACCTCCCAGATTCTCCCGCGAGAAAATAATTTGGGTTGGTTGAGTTTTCCCAAGTGGGAGACTCGTCAGTTTGGGGACTCAACATGAAGGTGTATGGAATGAGCCAGTGGTCACAGGGTACGATGAGATCTAATGCCATTTCCGAAATCAGGTTTAATCTGGAGGGGCCAAGGTTCATAATTTTGTGCTACTCAGATCCATGACTAAGGTATAGATAGATATGTCTGACCGGGGTGAGGAAAGAGGAATGAGAAAAGGATTGGTAAGAGACCAGGTTGGACGAAGTGGGTGTATGAACCAGGAAGGGCAGGTTGGAATTTGAGGACCAAAGCGAGAAAGAAGGGATGGGGCGCAGGGGGCTTCAGAAAGGGCTTTAAGTGCAGTAAGGGCGAGGCAGTGATGAAGTGTCAGAGTCTCTGGTTTGTGGGGTCAGGAATGACCTGGAAAACAGGAATGAAAGGGATGGGGATGGAGAAGACAGGTTTAATGGGCCCGAACCAGGAATGGGGTGGAGTAGGAATTCGGTACGGGCCGGTCGGAGTTGAGTCTAGGTATACAAAGTCAAATGCTCACTGTCCCAATGCAGTCAGTCAGGCTAGGCGGCGGAGCCTTAGGTTTCGCTTTTCCGAAGAATCGGTTCATCTTGGCTGGCGGCGAAGAAACCCAAACACTGGAGGAAAACCAGAAACGGAAGCGTATTCGCTCCGGTTTCAGTTTCCGGCCCCCCCCCCCTCCAAGCGCAAGCGCAGAGGGCTCGCTGGAATTTCCCAATCCTTTTTCCGGGTTTCAGCTCCTCCTGCCAGAGAAGGAGCGTAGAGCTCTGGGAGAGGCGGAAAGACTTCTGGGGGTGGGACTTGGGGGAGGAATAGGGGCGGTGCCTCGGCCAAGTGGGTGTGGCTTAGACGCAGCTGGGCGGATAGGGCGGGGCCCGGGAGCGGGGGTCAGTTCCGAGGGCGTGGCGAGCAGATGGGGTGGGGCCGGTGAGTAGTAGGGCGGGGTTGCAAGGCTGCGCCGTCGACGGCCACCGCGGGGCGGTGGACAAACGCGGGCCTGGCGGATCGCAGCAGCCCTCGGAGACCGCGAGGGGACCGGGAGCCGCTGGGACCCCGGCTGCGCGCCCCTCGGCCCGGCCGGGAGTCGCGCCAGTCGGAGCCCCTGGCCGAGCGCGGCTCGCCTCCCTCTCAGCGTTCCTCTGTCCGCAGTGCAGCCAGCGGGTATGACCGATCCACCAGGGGCGCCGCCGCCGCCGGCGCTTGCATGCCGCGGATGAAGAAGAAAGTCCGTCCCCGCTCTGCTCAAAGCGAGAAGGCGGCTCATTGCAGGGAGTTGATCAGGGGTAAGAAAACGACCCGTAGCAAGAAAGGGACCGGGACCAAGGAGGTGACCCCGTTAGAGGAAGTGATCACGATCGACGAGGCGACCCAGACCGAAGAGGTGGCCGTGGCCGAAGAGGTGACCCAGACCGAGAGCATGGCCCAGATTGAGGAGATGGTCCAGACCGAGGAAATGGAAACAACTGGAGTTAGCGTGACCGTCACCCACAGTGAGTACCAGGATGGGCTCCGTAGGTAGAGTTGGGATCTGTGAATTTGGCCACCTGTAGCCAAGCATGGGCTCTTGGCTATGTTCGTGTGGTTTGTTTTTGCCTGGGTCTGGTGTCAGGACATCATTCCGTGTGGCCAGTTTGTTTTGTGCCTGGACATTTGTTAGACCCTCTATTTTGGAAGCGTAGTTGAGTGTGTGCCGTCAGTAATAAACTCTCAGCCTTGTATTTGGCCATCTTGTGTGTGGAACTCTTGTGGTTCTGGACATCTACCAGTATGAAGTCTGAACTTACTTTTTCGGGCTGTTCATTACTTGCCGAGTACTTTCTGTATTGAATGTCACAGAACCGCAGGTTCAGTGGGCGGTGGGTCCAAGAATTACTCTCTGGACACCTGGTGAAATTAAAACAGAACCAATCACTGGAAAGTACACGAGAAAGCTGGATCTGTGAGATTTCCTTAGAACCAGGCAGTTAGGAAAGAACCATATACTTTGCCATCTGGAAACCATAATTCTGTGTCCAGCAGCTTTGAGTGACCTTGAGATGGACGTCTCTTTTTTAAAGGCCTCTGATTTCTGGTCTGTGAAGCACAGATGGGAACTAGGGCTCCTTCTGACCCTGGATCAATTGGGAAAATAGTTTAATAAGCTGGACCTAGACTCCACCTACTTAGGAAAGAATCGGCACCTGTGTTTTTTAAAAAATGGATTTATTCGTTTGTCTTTACTAAGCACTAATTATGGTGTACTTAGGTGTGCCCAGTAAGAAAGACGTAGAGGACAGCAGCCCCTTGCGGGTAAATCAGGGGAGACAATAGGGAGTCGGGCCACAGGATGCAGGCAGCTGTGATGGGAAGTGTGGACTTTGGAATCAACTAGATCTAAGGGCTGATTCTGCTCTGCCAGCTGAAGGTTTCCCCCAAGGAGGTCTCTATTAGACTGATAGCGGCAGTATGGTGCTGTCCTGGGGTTTTAAGATAGGGCATGCAACAAGTCTTGGATAATTGTATATGTGTAATTGCATACAATTGCATGCAAGTGTGACTCTAGCTGGGGCCAGAGCTCAGTGGTAGAGCCCTTCCCAGCAAGCTCAAGGCACTGAATTCCATCCTCAGCCCCATAAGACAGCATCAGCTTGCTTTTCGATTTACGTGAAGGCGTTGTCTTCATTGAATGCTTTTCTTTCCCTCCAGGCAATGAGAGGTATGACCTTCTTGTTACCCCACAGCAAGGTAGTAGTGAACCATGTGTGCAAGACCTAGCTCAGCTTGTGGAAGAGGCCACGGGGGTTCCACTGCCTTTTCAGAAGCTCATATTTAAGGGTAGGTGCTTCTCATTTGTTTCTGAGTACTTATGGCCAAAGGACAGATTTCATTTTATTTGTTTGTTTGTTTATTTTAGTTTTCTGAGATAGGGCTTCTCTGTGTAGTCCTGGCTGTCCTGGACCTCACTCTGTAGACCAGGCTGGCCTCGATTGAATTCAGAGATCCGCCTGCCTCTGCCTCCTGAGTGCTGGGATTAAAGGCATGTGCCACCACCACCCTGTAAGGACAGATTTTAAGTTGCTTAGTCCTACCTACTGGTGACTTTCAGTTTTCTGTGTGTGAATGTGTGCATGGGTGTTTTGCCTGACATACATGTCTGTGTACCACATTTGTGCAGTGCCCACGAAGGCCAGGAGACGGTGTCAGCTTCTCTGGAACTGGAGTTATAGATGGTTGTGAGCTACCATGTGGGTGCTGGGACCTGAACCCTGATGTTCTGTAAGAGCAGCAAATGCTCTTAACCACTGAGCTATCTCTCTAGCCCCATCTTTCAGTTTTCAAAGCAGAACCATTTTCTTTCTTTCATTCATTTACCAGGTATTTATTAAGGACCTGTTCTAACTAGACATTGCAAACATCTAGATGAGTATCAGGTTTGGGGTAACATGATGACAGATGTTAACCTTTTTTGAGGAAACACGGACAGCCTTCCCCATTATATGTTCTGCACGATTGTATTGAAGTTACTACTAAGTAAAGTCACCTCAGTTGCCTAATATCTGATTTGTTAGTATGACAGCAGATAGTGTTCTTGCCAGTACTTGACATAGTGCTGATTAGAGAGGCTTTGAACAAACTGAATAAGAGCCTGGATGGGCAGGGTGTGTTGATGATGCTGGTGCTGATTTCTGAGGCACTAGCTCCTCCCCACCCCTCCTATCCTCGGCCTCCCCACTCCCATGGAACTCATTATTCTAGTACATGATAGGGCCAGATTTATCTCATTAGGTTTCGGTCATTGTAAAGAATTTAATAATGAACATTATGGCAAGGGCGTAACTTTAGAGTACAGTAATAGGAAGCATTTTATATATATTTCATAGCATAGATCTTACTCCTTTTTCTTGGTGGGAAAGTGATAGATTCCTAGAGCCCAAGCCATCTCGGAACTGGTTATGAATGGCCATGCCCCATGTCTTTTGCTTTTTAAATAATTTAATTTTTTGAATTAGAAAGACAATAGAAACGTATCTTTCAAATTTGAGTATGGTAGCACACACCTATAACCCTAGTACTCTGGAGACACAGGCCAACTCCATGTCAACCTGGGTAATAAGTCAGACTCTGCCAGAGAGAAAGGGGAGGAGGGAGAGAAACAGAGAATGGCAAGAGGTCAAGTTTCAAAACAGAAAGCATAAAGAAGAAATGTTCTCGTGGATAACACTACTTGTTAATTTTTAAAACTGTTTTTATTGAGCTATATATTTTTCTCTGCTCTCCTCTCTTCTTCCTCCTTCCTTCTTCCCTCTTCCTTCTTCCCCCCTTCCCTTCTACCATCTCCCATAATCCCCATGTTCCCAATTTACTCAGGAGATCTTACCTTTTTCTACTTCCCCTGTAGTTTAGATCCATGTCCTCTTTGTTGTCTAGGTTCTCTGGTATTGTGAATTGTAGGCTTTTTTGTTGTTTGTTTTGATTTATGTCTAAAAGTCACTTATGAGTGAGTACATATTATATTTGTCTTTCTGGGTCTTCTCAATTTTTTTAAATGATATTGTGGCTTAATCAAACATACTAGGCAAGTACCAAACCACTAAGACCTATCCTCAGCCCATGTATTTTACATTCTCTTTTTATAATATTGAGTTTACCTGCATTCATTGAAATATCCTGAGAAGAAAAGAGCTTTTTTTTAAGATTTATTTATTAATTATGTATACAGCATCTGTCTACATGTATCCCTGCAGGCAAGAAGAGGGCACCAGATCTTATTATAGATAGTTGTAAGCCACCATGTGGTTTCTGGGAATTGAACTCAGGACCTCTGGAAGGACAGTCATTGTTCTTAACCCATGAACCATCTTTCATCCCCGAAAAGAGCTTTCATGACTATAAAATCTTTTATTTTACAGAAGTGATCTCTTGGGGCTGGAGAGATGGAAACTGTAGCCATATGCACATACCAACATATGCACACAGATACACATTATTAAAAATAAAATAAATCCCCAGAGGTGGTGGTGTATGTCTTTAATCCCAGCACTCGGGAGGCAGAGACAAGAGGATCTCTGTGAGTCTCAGGCCCGCCTGGTCTACAAAGCAAGTACTAGAACAGCCAAAGCTGTTACATAGAGAAACCTTATCTTTAAAAAAAGCAAATAAATAAAGATAAATCTTAAAACCTTTAGGAACTGGAGAGATGGCTCTGCAATTAAGAGCACTGGCTCCTCTTCTGAAGAACCCAGGTTCAATTCCCAGCATCTACATGGAGGCTCTAAACTGGTCAATAACTCCAGTTCCAGGGGATTCCAGTTCCATTGGCACCAGCCACACATATAATGTACAAGCATACATTCAGGCAAAATACCTCTATACATAAAATAATAATAAAATTTTTTAAAGAACTATATCTATTATATGGATTATATTAATACTTTGTCCCTGAATATTATTTTTAATAGTTGTTATATAAATATATTTCCAGTTATTTGTTTAGGATAAATATCAAGAAATGACATTATTAGATAAAGACATTTAAAAAGAATTCCAATTTATCTTTTTATTGTTAGCAAACATGAAGCTTTTTGTTGGTTTGGTTGGTTTTGTTCTTTTTTTTTTAAAATATCTTTTTATTTAGTATGTATACAGTATTTTGACTGTGTGTATACCTGCAGGCCAGAAGAGGGCACCAGACCCCATTACAGATGGTTGTGAGACACCAAGTAGTTGCTGGGAAATTGAACTCAGGACCTTCTGAAGAACAGGCAATGCTCTTAACCTCTGAGCCATCTCTCCAACCCTGGTTTTGGTTCTTGAGACAGGGTTTCATTATGTAGTCTGTGCTGGCCTGGAACGTGGTCTTGGTCTACAGCCCGTCCTAGGCTTGAGCTCACAGACATCTGCTTGCCTCTGCCTCCTGAGTGCTCTGAGTAGGTTTCCTGGGTCCTCTAGAAGAGCAACCACCGCTCTTAACCATTGCACCGTCTCTCAGGCCCCCTTTTAGGTTAGATTTGTATTTCTGTTTTTAAATAACAATAGTTTTATGATTTACTCATACTCACTTCCTTGCCCGTGTTTTGCCCCCTCCTCCATTTGAGTCCATACAGGGCCTGCCCTGGATGAGGCAGACCTACCAGGGGTTACACCTCAAAGAAAACTGACTCTTTCCTGCAGCTATTCAATGTCAGTAGCGCCACTGCTAGTGGTGGGGCTCCAATCCCACCTCTTTCTCATGTACATTAGCCAAAGTCTAGTTTTAGTGTTGTACAGATGATACAATTTGGCATGCCTTTGCTTTTCTCAGGAAAATCTCTGAAAGAAATGGAGACACCATTGTCAGCACTTGGAATACAAAATGGTTGCCGAGTCATGCTAATTGGGGAAAAGGTAAATTGCTTTTTTCATCAAAATTTTAAATCGAATGACTAAAGAACCATACATGATTCTGTATAGAAGACCAAATTGGCCGGGTGCTGGTGACGCTCACCTTTATCCAGCACTTGAGAGGAAGAGGAAGCGAACTTCTGCGTTTGAGACCAGCCTGGTCTACATACCGAGTTCAGAACAGCCAGCGCTCCACAGAGCAGCTCTGTCTTGAAAAAAAAAAAAAAAGAGACCAAATTGGTTACCCAGGTTCAGCATTGGTGACGTCCCCCTTGAGTGAGGTCTGGTGAGATTACCAGTTTGGTAGGTGCAGTATCTGTGCTTTTCTACTCTGGCAATTAGGCTTCTGCTACCTCGATGTAGTTAAAATGTGCCAGGGGCAGGCTGTACTTAGAATTTTCAGGAGAGCTTTTGTTAGAGCTGTAGACACTACGTGGAAGAACTCTTGCTCGGGTCTTAGGAGCTGCCTTCCATTCTACAAGAAGAAAATGCTCTCTGAGTGGAACGGTTCAGACTGAAGACCTGAGGGGCAAGAGAGCGTTGGTGACAGGTGAGGGCTGTGGCCCTGCCCTGCCGGGATGGGCACTGTGCCCACCCTGCATTGTGACACAGTAGCACCTGGGGGACTGGGCTTGAGATTTGGCCGTGGAGAAGAATGAACAGTGTAGGGGAGTGTAAGAAAGCAGGCAGCTGCTGGCCCTGGCTGCCAGCTGCGGGTGAGAGGAAAGAGAAGAGTCTGTGAGAACAGTGTGGGCAGCAGGCAGTACCCATGGTCAGTTTGAGGAAGCTGTAGTAGTTTCAGCTGGAGCTGGCTAAGAGCTGGGAGCCACATCTGGATTCTAGTACGTTCCACCTTTGGGCACTTCACTGCAGCGGTTGGTTCAGTCCTCCTCAGAGAATGGCTTAGCGCAGTGGTGGTCAGATGTTCTTCTCACAGAGGCAGCTAGTCTTTGCCTCTAGTCTTTACTGACCTCGTTTTTATTCTTCACGTTAGAGCAATCCAGAGGAAGAAGTTGAGTTAAAGAAGTTGAAAGATTTGGAGGTATCTGTAGAGAAGACAGCTTACCACTTGGAAGATTTGAACAAAGAACTTTTTGGCATCCAACAGGTGACTTAGCCATTTCAATTCTAATTTAGTGGTATGATATTATTACCTAGTAGGCTTTTTAAAAAACCATTTATTTAATTTTAAGATTATGTATGTATGTGTGAGAGTATGTGCATGGGAGTCCTGGTGGCCAGGGAGGCCAGGGCCTCCAATTCTCCCAGAGCTGGAGCTACATGAAGTTGTGAGCCTCCATGTGGATGCTAGGAGCACAACTCAGGTCTTAATTACTGAGCCATCTCCCCTGTCCTGTTTTGTCCTTTGATTATAAAATTAATTTGTGCTGGGCAGTGACAACCAGGTCTTTAATCCCAGCACTCAAAAGACAAAGGCAGGCAGATCTCTGAGTTCAAGGCCACACTGGTCTACAGAGTGAGTTCCAGGATGGCCAGAGCTACACAGAGAAATCCTGTCTCTAAAACCAAATAATAAAATAATAATAATAATTTGTGGTACTTATACAAGAGTTTTAAATGTATGTACACTCCCTAAATGTAGGCCCATCACTCCCTAAACTCCGTGCCCTTACTGATCTTCTTGTGTGTAAATATGTACCTTGTGATCCAGAGATACTGTTGTTCTGAAAAATATTTTTATCTTATTATCAAAAATTTCAATATGATGTACATTTGGTAAATTGTTCTTTTATTGACTAAAAAGTTAACATTTTCTGGTGTCATTGAAAATGGTCATATTTTGTTGCATACCATGTTTTTTCTAGGCTAGTTTCTATTCTTTGTTGTTTTACCTAATAATTTTTTTCTGTTACATATGATGCTTCTTTGAATACCCTTAGACATGAATTTTTTTTTGAACAATTGTGATTGCTTTTAATAATGTAGGTGGAGGTTGCCTGTTTGTTTCCCAGCATCCCAGACCCAAAATAATCACACAGAAACTGTATTAATTAAAATACTGCTTGGTTTGTTAGCTTATGCATGTTTCTAGCTAGCTCGTAATCTTAAATTAACCCATCTCGATTAATCTGCACTTCACTACAAGGTCATGGCCTTTGGGCAAGGTTCTGGCAGGCTCTGGCTGGCATCTTTTTCCTTGGTGTCTCCCTGACTCCACCTACTTTTTCCCAGCATTTAGTTTAGTGTTTCTGCCTACCTCTGTTCTCCCTGCCATAGGCCAAAGCAGCTTTATTCATTAACCAATAAAAGCAGCACAGGTACAGAAGGAGTTCCCACTGAGTTTGGATTTCTGAGTAATTTTGAACTTCTTGCTGTGTGTTGTAAAATATGCATTTGTCACTGCTTTGATAGCCATCCTCAGAAATTCCTGCTCAGCCATCAGTTAGCGGATCATTAGTCTTAGAGATGTGAATGAATAGCAAGCAAGGTGGTTTAATAAGAAGAGTGCTGCTTGAGCCAGGTGTGGTTTTGCATACCTGTAATCCCAGCTCTTCTGAGGTGGAGGAATCAGCAGCTCAAGGGCAGCATTGACTAAGCAGTGAGTTGGAAACCACCCTGTCTCAAAACAGAACTAAAATAAATGTAGCCATCCTCTGTTATCACACGGACCTGTCTGTGTAGGCAGCAGGAAGAGAGAGGCACTGGGCCTGGCTTGAGCATTTGAACATCCAAAGCCAGTGACATACTTCCTCCCACAAGGCTATACTTACTCTAACAAGGTCACACCTCTTAGTCCTTGTCAAGTAGTGCCACTCCCTCAAGATTGAGCATCCAAATATATGAGCTGAGGGTGCCCATTCCTGTTCAAACCACCAAACAGAGAGTATTTGACAAAGACACCTCATTCCGACCTTCGATGTCCACATGTGCTCTGATGTCTGCCTCTTTTTTTTTTTTAAAAAAAAGATTTATTTATTATATATACAGTGTTCTGTCTGTCTGTATGCTTGCTAGCCAGAAGAGGGCACCAGATCTCATTACAGATGGCTGTGAGCCACCATGTGGGTGCTGGGAATTGAACTCAGGACCTCTGGAAGAACAGTCAATGCTCTTAACCTCTAAGCCATCTCTCCAGCCCTAATGTCTGCCTCTTAAGTGCACGTGTACCTTTGTGACCAAAGGCTATACTCTAGTTAGGCCTTAGAGGCATTCAGAGCCCAGTGGACCACATGAGAAACAGTAGCCTATAGCCTGCTAGGATTCTTAGACTGGCCAAGGTCAGCATTTCTAATTGTCAAAAGGGATTCATTCAGCCTGGCTTATTAGAGCAGAGGTAAACTCTGGGTCACTTCATCAGTATAGTGGCATGGCTTTCCACAACTCTCAAGAAACACTTACGGTAACGCCCTTTTCCTTCACAGGGTTTTCTGGCTAAGGAATTGCAAGCAGAGGCTCTCTGCAAACTTGATAGGAAAGTAAAGGCCACAATTGAGCAGTTCATGAAGATCTTGGAAGAGATTGACACAATGGTAAGTAATACTCAGCTTAGAGATGCTATTTATTTATTTATTTATTATGTATACAGCATTCCTTCCATGTGTGCCTGCAGGCCAGAAGAGGGCACCAGATTTTATTATAGATGGCTATGAGCCACCATGTGGTTGCTGGGAATTAAACTCAGGACCTCTGGAAGAGCAGCCAGTACTCTTAACCACTGAGCCATCTCTCCAGCCCGAGATGCTGGCTCTTAATGATAGTATTTCCGTCCATTTCGCTCTGCCAGCATAGCACTTCTGTTGTTACTTGGGATGCGAGCATCTACTAATGTGTGCCAGATACTGTATGTCCTAGTTAGCTTTAGCTGTCAGCACTGCCTAGAGGTCCCTAAGAAGTGCCTCTCCATTGATGGTACCCAGATTAGGGTGGCCTATGGGCACATGGAGGGGATGAGGTTGTTTTGGTAATTGAAATAGCCCATTATGGGTTGCATCACCCTAGATAGCTGGTCCTGGACTAGGTAAGAAAGCTAGCTCTGAGGTAGAGAGACGGTTCAGTGGTTAATACTACTGGTTACTCTTCTAGAGGACCTGGGTTTGATTCCCAGAACCTACGTAGTGGCTCACAACCATCTTTAACTCTAATTCCAGGGGATCTATGTCATCTCTGGCCTCCTCAGGTATCAGGCATGCATATGGTGCAGATAGACATGTAGACAAAACATCCATTAAAATTAAAAGAAATAAACCTTAGAAAGAAAGCTAAGTGTGAGCCAGCAAGCAACGTTCCTCCATGGTTTTTGCCATGGTTTCATTGATAACGACTGTGTGACCTGGTAGTCTAAGCCAAACAAACTCTTTCCTCCCCCAGTTGATCAGAGTGTTTCATCACGCAGCAGGGAGGAGACTAGGATGGTATGCTAGGTTCTGGGTGAATATATGGAATTTCTGTTCTGACCTGGGCATCCACAGCCCACCAACACAGGGCTTTGGTAATATAGATGAGAAACGTGTGTGTGTGTGTGTGTGTGTGTGGTTGTGGACCGGAACCCAAGAATTTTATAATCTTGTGGTTAAGGAAACATGGGTCTTTGTTTTTCTAAACCTCAGGTTGTGATGTCATTGAGCTTGTTTCTTCTACAGGCTTCAACCATAGCCAGATCTTGGGGGGCTGTTGAATCACTGACTCAAGCTTTCTTTAACAGATTAATGTAAGGGTATCTCTAGCTTGATGCTGTATTCTTGAGAGTGAATTCCTCTGGGCTTGGAGTTCTGTTGTGACAGAGGGGTTAAAAAGAACAAAACAGCCAGGCGACGGTGGTGCACACCTTCAATCCTAGTACTTGAGAGGCAGGCAGATCTCTGTGAGTTTGAGGCCAGCTTGGTCTACAGAGTGAGTTCCAGGACAGCCAGGGATATACAGAGAAACCTAGTTTCAAAAAACCAGCCAAACAAACAAGCAAATAAGCAAACCCCAAAACAATAGAAGGTACTTTTCCTGGCATAATAGTGTCTGTATGTAGGAAACAGTGAAGAAACAAAATCTGTGTTTCAGATCAGGTTACAGCCCAGCCATTGCAATCAAGGGAGGGACCATTCATAGGAACGAGAGCCATGAGAGGAACCTCATAGGAAGCACAATGGGAGAGGTGATGCCTGAAAGTGCACATCTTACTTATATTGGGGACCTGTTGGGTGTGTTCTCTCTTGTCACTGCCATTACAGATGTCAGTTGTGAACTGTTTCTTCCATAGGTCCTACCAGAAAATTTTAAAGACAGCAGGCTAAAAAGGAAGAATTTGGTAAAAAAGGTTCAGGTGAGTTATATGGTAATACATGAGAGGCTGTAATATATTTAGTGTGTTGGTATGTGTGTTTATCTGCTCAAAACAGGGAAGTGTAGAACCGTGGTTAGGAGGCATGGTCTGGCCAGTTGGTGGTGGCACCTGCCTTTAATCCCAGCACTAATGAGGCAGAGGCAGGAGGATCTCTGTGAGTTCCAGGCCAGCCTGCTCTACAGAACTAGTTCCATATCAGCTAGGGCTGTTAAACAGAGAAACCCTGTCTCAAAAAATGAACTAAGAGGCATGGTCTGTTGTTACTGTTTATTTATTAGCATGAACCCGAAATGGGGATTCTTGTCCCTGTGTATTTGATTTAATCAGTTTGGGCATCTGATCAACAACAGGCCTCTCAGATGACTGAATAGAGAGCCTCATATGGGCAGTGGTTGGCTTGTCCTCGGAAGGCCTGGAATTTCACTGCCTGTGTCTGTCTCATAGGTGTTCCTAGCTGAGTGCGACACGGTGGAGCAATACATCTGCCAAGAGACAGAGCGGCTGCAGTCTACGAACTTGGCGCTCGCTGAATGAAGTGTGGGAGAGAGTGACTGTACTGGCCTGAAAAGCAGCTTCACGGCTCAGTCCTCTATGGAACAGAAGCCGCTTGTTCCTCCAGCACTGCCAGAGGCAACTGGCTAAATGTCAATTTCCCTACTCCTCCATCGGTTCTCAATGAAGAAGCACTATCTCTGCAACTCTGAAGTAGAGCTCCTGTGTTCTCCTTCTGGCTCTGTGTGGTTGTGCTGTCCAGCAGTTCCCTTTGTAGGAGAGGGGCCTTCCTACCCAGTGGTTACTGGCTCTCGACATTCAGGAACTTTCTGGGCTGGGCAGAGCTCTAGTTCATCTGGAGCTAGTTCCAGGTTTGTAGGGCCCCCTAGTCTTCAGATTCGTGACCTTGTGATCTCAGTCCAGAATCACCAGGTAGTTGCTCCCAGGTAGAAGTGACGGATAGAAGTTTGGCACGTGGACAATCCCCAGAGTGCCCTATTGTCCTGTTGAGACTGATTTCAGAACATCTGACTGGACTGTGGATTTAAAGACCTTGTCCTCATCCTCCCCTGCTCCTCCCCAGCCACAGTCATTATAATTATTATTATTTTATTAATATTTGAGACAGGAACTCACTGGGTATTTCTAGCTATCCTGAAATTCACTATGTAAACTGGAGATCGCCTGCTTCTGCCTCTCAAGTACTGGGGTTAAAGGCATGCACCACTATGTCTACATTCAAGGTGCTATTTTGGGATGGGACCTGTGGTTAATATGTGGATAACCTTGCCCCCAAACAAGTCTCCAGACTGATGGGAACCCAGTGCCAACTGAGTCTCTGCCTGAAATAGTTCAAAACCATGGCTCAGGAAGGCAAAGATAGTGGTTTGAGTGTGAGAAGTGGGGGCGAAGCCAGCTGGCAGCTTCCGTTAGCCATACCCTCTGAGCTCCAGGTTTCACTGAGACTGTTCCTGTTGAGTCCTGGACTTCCCCTTCCATTGTTTGTTTTTTAATATTTTTACATTATTTCTATCTTGTACAGTTGAGTGTTTTGCCTGCATGAATGCCTGTGTACTGTGTGCATGCAGTGCCCATGGAGGCCCAAAGAGGATGTCGTAGCTCCTTGGAACTGGAGCTAGAGAGAGTTACAAGCTGTCATGTGGGGAGAGAGTTACAAGCTGTCATGTGGGTGCTGGCTCTTCTAGAATGGCAATCAGTGCTCTTAACTGCTAAGCCATCTCTCCAGATCCTCCATTGCTTTAAAACCAGTTCGTGTGTTATCATCAAGCACAAGAATATTTGGAATTTTTCTCCTCTGCGTCTGTCCGTCTGTCCATCTGCCTGCTTGCTCGTGCATGTGTGTATGCGTGTGTGTGTGTGTGTGTGTGTGTGTGTGTATGTTCATGGCTGCCCATGTGTGTCCCTCCTTTGGACACAGTCTTGCTATACAGCCTAGGCTGGTCCTTTGCCTCCTGAGTTCTTGAACTATAGGTATACACAACTGTGTACAGTGTTGATTTTTTGTTGTGTGAGAAAGACGACTGTGGCTTGTCAGCATTTGCGTTTGATGAAGCTGAGAGATTCTGTGTGTTAGAATTCCTTTAAGCTAGCCAGTTGCTCTCACCCACTTTTATCATAGTACTCAGGATACAGGCTTTCAACAGGCCCAGTGAGGCTTATCTTGTTACCAAGAGGGCTTCACTGAAGTCCCAGGGACTTAGGACCGGGTAGGTAAGACATCAGACCTGGGGGGAGTAGAGGTAAACAGGTAGACAGGACTCAGGGCCCAACCTAACCCATCCCCAACTTACTGGAACAGTTCCACCATCCTTTCTGGGGCAGCTGTTTAACCCTGGGTCACAGTTAGCAAGAAGTTAATGTGGGACTTGGGGGCGTGTTTGTCACATAAGCAAGAGGTCCTCAAAACCCATGTTTGTTTGTTGTTATTTGTTTTTAAAGCTGAGAGTGGTGGTGCATATTATAGTCCTAGTACCATATAGGGGAGATAAACAGAGGCCGATCCCTGGGGCTCACCGGCCTGCCAGTCTAGCTAGCGCGAGACCCTGTTTTAAAAAGGAGAGACAGGGTAGATGGCTCTGGAGGAACAAAGCCTGAGGTTGTCTTCTAGCCCCTGCACACACAGGAGCACACAAAGTTACTTAGCACTGGGCCCTGTTCTTTGTATATATTCGTGATCTAATCCTCACTTGATAAAGAGGTGGAGGAAATGGGAAAGAATGGCAGAGCTACACCACAAAGCTGGGTGCTGTGTGTGTGTGTGTGTGGTGGCAACAGAGGCCAGAAAGGGCCATCAGATCCCCTGGGACTGGAGTTACAGACAGTTGTAAGATGCCACGTGGGTGCTGAGAACTGAACCCAGGTCCTCTGCAAGAGCAGCCAGTGCTCTTAACTGCCCAGCCATCCCTCCAGCATTCTTCTTTTTCTCTCCCCCCCCCCCATTCTGTAGCGCTGGGAAACAAACTAAGGACCTTGTGCATGCTAGGCAAGCATGCTAATGTCCTCCAAACAGAGCCAATGCTTTCAATCCCTGATCTTCTTCCTCCTAATTGGCATGGAGTCATACACACTTACTCTCATTCTAACTTCCTGTTTATGCCCTATATTGATGTGGGTAGTTTTGTTCTGTTTTTTTTTTTAAGTAATTTTTTAACATTTATTTATTTTTATTATGTATACAATATTCTGTCTGTGTGTATGCCTGCAGGCCAGAAGAGGGCACCAGAGACCCCATTACAGATGGTTGTGAGCCACCATGTGGTTGCTAGGAATTGAACTTACAACCTTTGGAAGAGCAGACAATGCTCTTAACCTCCGAGCCATCTCTCCAGCCCTTGTTCTGGTTTTTAAGATGTATTTTTATAAGCTGGTGTGTGTGTGTGTGTGTGTGTGTGTGTGTGTGTATCTGGGCATGTGCGCATGCATGCATGCATATATTTATGCAAGTACCCACAGAGGCCAGAGGTGCTGGATTCCCCTGGAGCTGGAGTTAGTGGTTATGCGCTGCCTGACAGGAATGCTGGGAATTGAACTCGGGTACTCTTGTAAGAGCAGTCTGTGCTCTTACCTGCACAGCAGTCCTCTCCAGCCCCCTGCGGGTGAATGTTGTCAACCTGACATGATCTAGAATTACCCGGGAAGGGAGTTTCACCGATGGATTGTCTAGATTAGCTTGGCCTGTGAGCAAGTCTTTTGAGGGGATCATTTTGAGTATGTTAACTGGGATGGGAAGATATGTCCACTGTGGGTGACACCATACCCTGGGCAGAGGATTCTGAACTATGAGTAGAAGCAAGCCAAGCACTAGCAAGCATCCTTCCTTCTGCTTAACTGTGGATTCAAAGTGACTAACATCCCTAAATTCCTGTGACTTTCTCCCATGATAGAATAATCTGGGATTTGTTTTCCCTCAAGTTGCTTTTGTCAGAGCATTTATCATAACAACAGGATACAAAATCAAAACAATTCCTCCACCCCTCTCCAGTTCATCTGAATGATGCTAAAATATGTTTGAGTTCTATCTGGAAACCTCCAGTGGCTCCAGTGCCACTTAGGATAAAGACCCTACAGTCATTGCCAGCCATGGTAACTTGCACTTATAATCCTAGCACCAAAGAGGCTGATACAGGAGGATTGCCATAAGTTCAAGGCCAGCCTGAGCCACGCTGTGAGACCCTGTCTCAACAGCCATTGTACCTTTCAGAAGAAAGAACCAGAGTCCTTTCCTCTGCCTTGTCTCACTCATATCAGCCCCCACTGGTCAGCCAGTTCCGAGATTCATGGTGTTTACTGCTCTGGGACCTTTGTACTCGCTGCTCTCTCTGTGTGGACAGCCTCTCACCAACTTTCCTCTCTGTTTTGTTATGTGGCTCCTGCTGTCTTTCAGGATATCATTAAGGGTCTTCCACAGGGAAAACTGCCCCAGCTGAGACCTTCTGTGCCGCTTGTAGCTTTTCCCTCAGCAAACAATCACAGGCTGATTTATTTGTGGAGTCATCTGACTGCTTCTAACCTGGACTGCAGTTCCCTTGGCGGGGAGTTTTGTCTTGACCACAGGTCAAGCATGTTGCCTAGCGTTAGTAGGTTCTCAAGTGGATGCTGAGTGTGTCCGTCAGAGTGAGTGTGGAATTTCCACAGCTGTACTTGGTCCGGAAGCGCTCTTGTCAGCACTGGGTTTTATGGCATCGACCGATGTCTCGTTTAGAGGTTGAGAAAAGAGGCCCTAAGACTTGGACTGCAGAAGTATAGCATGGTGGCCAAGGGCACAGGCCCCACCCACATAGACCTGTCCACCCACAGGGCGGCTCTGCCTCAGGACAAGGAAAGGACTCCCCTCTCAGTTGCCAACTTCCCCAGGACTAGATTAGTTCTACATAGGATGACCATGGAGTGTAACTCTACAAACTTGTCCTTCAGCCTCAGAGCTGGAAGACTTCCCTCGCATGTTTATTTCGTCAGCGTTTTCTACGTGCCCTTCACTGCGGCTTCAGTATCCCCGCGGCTTCAGTGTCCCCTCGGCCTCCTCGTCCCCTTCTGTGCTCATGGCTGTTAATCACTGAAGGTTTGGTTTTGCTATGTGGCCCAGACTGGTACCAAATTGTAATCCTTCTGTGTCAGCCTCCCAAATGGGATTAGAAACAGCACCATCACCGATGACCACCTCTCCTGAGAAGCCTTCCTCCACGTGGTGGTCAGGGCTTCTTTTTATTTGAAGGTACCAGGAACTTAATTCCGAAGAGATACAGTGAAAAAGAAAAATGAGCAGAACCCATAATTTTTTTTTTATAGGCAAATATATCTGCTTATAGACCCAGCTCTTTGGAGACAGAGACAGGAGGATCTTGAGTTCAAAGCCAGCCTGGACTACTTATGAGACCCTTTCTCAGAAAATAAAAATATTAAGCCAGGCATTGGTGTACAACTGTAATCACAGCACTGGGGAGGCAGAAGCAGGTGAATCTCTGTGAGTTTCTGGTCTACAGAGTAAGTTCCAGGACAGTCAGGGTTACACAGATAAACCCTGTCTTGAAAAGACAAAAACTAACTAAATATAGAAATAGAAGATACCAGCGAAGTTAGGCCATGTGGCTTTGGAAGGTCAAAAGTAGCTGGGCTGGAGGAGTTCCCACGTTACCCACAGCCGGGTGTTACCCCCTCTGCTGGTGCCCTCGTCATTCTCCCAGCGCTGCTCCTCCTCAAG